ATGTTATGTCGGAAAAGACACTGCCTGCAATGGACAAAATTTTGATGCAAGGTTGACCAAAAATCTGACGGAAATCATGAAAAATTACCTTATATGCGCAAATATGGCCTTGTATGAGACATTCTGCCTAAGTGCTCTATGACCAATACATTATGGGTTTCGCGCAGGTGTAGTACATTCTGCCAACCTGCTCTGGGAACATACCATGTAGCAAGACTGCATCTGAGGGCATCGCTTTTTGCAAAGCAGCAATGTGAGGATTTTTTGCTGGGACTTTGAGGGAAGCAGGTGTTTACTGTGTTATAGAGAAGTTTTGCAAGAAGCAAGGGGAGCGGGGCACGTGGACAACCAAATACACATTCAATCACCCATTCATTTGATTGAACAGATTTCTCCACAAACACAGGATAACATACAGGTGAAATATGGATCTAGCAAATTTGAGATCTGACCATTTTCCGGCCAGCTATCTCTGTAACTATATTTATGTATGGTAGGATAGAACTTAGAAATAAACACAACATTATACAGTAGAAGAAACATACTTGGTCTTTCAAACTGGTAAAAAAAAGGGCAAGGCGAAACACAGGAATTTTCAAGATGGCGGCATTGACATCCAGTAAGCCTCTTTTGAATTTGAACATCACCAGTGTTGACACAGTAATACTCTAAGTCTCTCTGTCAGACTGTGTAATTCTGTGTAAACATTTCTCTTCCCTCTCAGCGGTTTTGTTAAAGACGTTACCGACAACAATGAGAGGAAAGGACAAAGATTTCTCCAAGGTCAAACCGCCATTATCACGGCTCACTTCAAACCCAGGTACATCCGCTCAAGGTCAAATTCTAACATTCCGGACATTCCGACGGCGATGTAAGTAACAATCAACCCCTCCCCACAGACAACAAGGTCGTTTCAAGGGCGCCGTTGTTTACTTGAAGGTTGTTTACGGTAATTATGAAGATCTCGTTAGAGAGAAGCTGTGCTGACGAGGTGCAAAGACAGACAATTTATAGTTTCATTAGTCGGACATGAAAGTCTCCGCTGACAGACTTTTCTAGAACCCCTAATTAACCTTTTCTCTGCTGCTGGCCCAATTTTCAAACCAAAATAATTCTGTCGCCAGAATTTAACTCAGCATGGGTGGAGGAACAACAATAGAGGGATTTGCTAAATCGTGCGAAATCTGTCGGGGGATTTCGTCTATTTTTCTTGCGTAGTTCCAAACAAAACACACCACAAGAGACGCTGTTCTGACGTAAAAGAAACACAAGTCTCGCTTTTTTTCATGTTTGTCATGTGTCAAAATTCCATAAACCATGACCTCATGTATTTCACATGTACTTGAGAATGAACTTCATCTTGAGACTAGACAATCACACGAATACGAAAGTTAGACATACAAGTAGAGATTGAGACACACAAGAAAACAGTTCCTCAGACAACTGGATAGATTTTGAAAACTGTCAGACGATTCAGGTAGCATCCACTACTTTTCCCACTACACCAGTCACTGACAAAAAGTACTGGATATTACTTGAAATGCCTGACAGTTTTCAAAATCAATCCAGTAGCTTGAGTAACTGTAACAGTCATATTGTTATGTACAATACACATCCAAGCAACTGGATAGATTTTGAAAACTGTCAGACGATTCAGGTAGCATCCACTACCTTTCCCACTACACCAGCCACTGACAAAATGTATGGGATACTACTTGAAATGCCTGACAGTTTTCAAAATCCATCCTGTCACTTGAGTAACAGTCATATGACATTGTTATGTACATTTTTGAAGTATCCTTTGGTGGTAACCCGACACCAATCCTCGTCACCTACACAGTAAAGTGTGGTTTTGTTTCATCCTGACTCATTCACACCCTATTGTTTCTGAGAACACCGTGAAAACTGCCTTTTCATGTAGAGTGGCTGTCAGCGACCACTGTAGCCTCCACAGCATGCCAAAAACTGGGGGTTTTGGGCGTCTTCAGGGTCTTTGGGAGCTTTTATGTGCTATTTTTTGATTGCATATAGACAACATAGCCGGTCTGGTTGAATTACCTCCGTTTTTTTAGAACTGGGCTAATCAGAAAACAGCCAAAGACCACCAGACCCCCAGTTCTATAAGCCTGCTACGGAGGCTAATCAGAAAACAGCCAAAGACCACCAGACCCCCAGTTCTATAAGCCTGCTACGGAGGCTAATGCCACTGTGTCACCACACTACAGACACCAGCTGATGTGTATTCAGCACCCTCACACACAGTTGGAACAAACAACAAGAAACTACAGACCCTACACAGAGATGCACAGTCTGTATACGTCATACAGCAATGGATAAAACATACCAGATTGTCCTGTCAATGTGCTGAATTCAACAATAAACAAAACTTGATTCAGGCACACAGTAAGAGATTTATCATTATTTGTTGTGAATATAATATTATTATTTCTAAGCAACACGCAAACCATTTAAAGCTATGTACTGTGTCAACTGAATTATTTCTGAAGTCTGTTTACTTGACTGTGACATATGATATGATTACCTTTATAGATATAAGTTGAATCCGTACCAAAGGCTAGATCTGTATATGCGATAATAACTGGATAACCTACCCCCAAATTTATCACCATTTTTGTGAATCATTATGATAACATTATTTCTGTGCAGCAGACAAACCATATACAGCTATGTACTGTGTCAACAAGGATTTCTGGAGTCTGTTTACCTGATTTATGATCACATAATGATGCCATATCAAATCCAGATTTGCCTACTGATAATATCTGGTTAACCAATCCCCCAAATTGAGCTGTGAGGGCTGATTTAATTCCTTGACACTATCTGTGCCCCCCAGTGCATAATGTAGTGTATATCAGTGTCGGGGCTGTTTTTATAGCAAACAGAGCTGTAGTGTGACAGTAGAGGGCCCATCTGTGGGCCAGAACACACACACATGTGGGCTAGGCACTGACCCGTCTCTCAAGCCAGCTGCTCTGACATCCAAGTGCCAAAATTCCCACCAATACACACGGAAGACAGGAGCCTCCAGGCTGGTGTGTGGGCCTGATTACCAGAACAAGTGTGGCGTTAACTGCTCATTATCCCCTGTGTTACACACTGCCATGGTCAGCTCAAAGCACGGCCATCGCAGAACAATCCACGTATAATTATCTATTTACAAAACTAAAGAGCCAGGGCTAAACAAAAGACACATGCGGACAGGGTGATCAGTGGAGATACTAACACAATAGCTCACCCCAGTCCACCTCTCACAGCTCAGCAAAAACACCTCCAAGTTCCAACAAACAGGACTAACTCCTCTGCCATATGTGCCACTCTGCCAGCCAGTCTCCGCTGGTTTCAAACACAAAAACTTACCCAGACAAATCAAGTTTGAACCTTTGTCCTCCTGACAGTGAAGGTCTCGTATGATAGGAGGTCTGCCAAAAGATACATTCTTAGAAAAACGACTTGAATATTTAACTGCCTGGGCCCCAACAGAAGTTTTTAGTACAATGGTGTGGAAAATGTTACAAGGGTGAAACTTCTGCATATTTTGTTCAAGATTTCCATGAAAATGTGAGGCAACATCTGGTATAATTTTGCAGAAGAAGTCATGTTGTGATATAAATTATTATACAAGCCAAGTTCGGCTGGCATATTTGAACCTTGCCCCAATTTTCCACAGTTTTGCTGATCTGACCATGAGTTCTTCCTGCCAGACACACAAATTGGCCAGTCCTGCACACACAAGGAAAAACTGACGACCATTTTCCTACGAATCCTTGAACCAAGACGGTGCAATTACGGGTTGCTTTCTATAGCTGCTGTCAGTACGGGTCATTAGTTTTCAGTTTTTCCCAGCCATTTTTCAGCAGAAATGCCAGATGAGCCAGTATGGGGGTTGTGGTAACTGTGTGTGTTAAACCGTGCACACCGATCCCACAGAGACTTGGCAAACTCTCCTTTGTTGCCTCAAAACAACCGTCCTCTTTGCCAATTAACCGAGAGCTAATTAAGCAGATGTACCCCTGAAGAGCTTGGCCCAAGTTCACTGCACTTGTGGTTTCCTTAGGAGACCAAAAATTGTTTAAAGTTCATTGTTTTTAACAAAGAACGCTTCCTTTCGTACGTTTTAACGTTTTTGCTTGTAAGTTCTTTCAATTTTAAATTCAAGGAAAAGAAAATTTGCCTGTCTTGGGACCAGGTGCAGAAGGTTCTGAGATCGGGTTTTAATATGTTTTGACAAGAAGCAATAATGAACAGCCAGCAGGCAGACCCAGACCCTCAAGTTTGCATACCAAATTAATGTTTTCCTTCCAATCTCACGACCAAAAAAGAAAGTCCGGGGGTAGCAAAAATCACCAATTTGAGACACGTTTGGGCAAACCAAAGATCGTGATGATAAGAAATAAGACTAGTTCTAACCCCATCTGACCTATGTATCTTCGCGTTGTGTGAATTTTAAGGATTAGGGCTAGTAGAACTGTTCAGAGGACCACCCTGATGTTTGAGGGCTCACAGACCTTCCTACAACAGTTTTCCTCCATAATCGCGTCCTTAAAGTCTTCTATCACACAGTTTCTAGCATTAGGGCGGGCCTAGGGTAATACTAGAGACGTTTTGAGCGGATTTGGGCGTCTGGAGCGGCGTGTTTTGACGCTTTGCCGTGCTTACCGAGCGGGTGATTCAGCCCTGACCAACATGAAAACATCCTGACTGACTGGACAATCATGGCCGCAAACTAAGGTGTCACGTCCGTTTCTGTCCTGACTTTGGGACGCTAGAATATAGGACTTGGACCTGAACTTGACAAAGCCAGGCTGTCTGGCAGCACAGCTACCCACTATCTCTAACCAGACACGGCGTATCTGCCTCAGTCACACCGCCATCTGTATACATGTCACACAACACAAGGGCCAGGTTCGAGGGATGGCAGCAAACCACCAGAAACATGGGATTTATACCACCAAAATATCGCTCTAAGAAAACAAACTCACCTGTTTCAGACGTCTAAGGGTCTTCAGAAGGTGCTCTGCTAAGAAATATCCGAGGATCGGGTGGGTAAAAGACAATTAGGACGATCTTTCGGCACAGACTTCGGAGCAAAAACGAAAACCGCTGCGCCACCTCCACTCCCTACCTCATACATAATTTAACATCCAGAGGATCGGTTCGGGATATTCCACTTTCCACGGGGGGAGCGGTCCAAATTAATAATTCCAAACATCGAATAATTGTACAATACAATTGATATATTAGTATATATCTGATTTACAGTTATAAAAATAGTTAAATAAAATGTAGTTTGTAGCCAAATTGTCTTTTTATTTCATGAAATATTGTTTGTAGGATTTTTATTTTATGAACTTCTCCCCCTGTAAGAGAATCTTGCGTCCGCGTGCAATGGAGACTTGAGGCTTGGCTCCGGCTGACTGAACAACCAAAGAAGGAAGTCAGAATGAGTCATACAGGAAACCGGGCCGGGCGTTATTGTGTAGTATATGCACGGCCATCGCAGCCAGGGATCGGGTCTCAGGCACTCAGGGTAAGCCAGGCCTCCAGGACGACCTGATCGGAGCCTGTAGCTTCCTGCCTTCGGGGGACCAGGCAAACGCAACCCGGGAACTGCCAGACAGCTTCTGCGATCATCATCAAAATTATGAAGGACCAAGTAGCCTTCGTAGCACCTGGCTTATAGAACTGGGGGTTTGGTGGTCTTCGGCTGTTTTCTGATTAGCCTCCGTAGCAGGCTTATAGGGCCTTATAGAACTGGGGGTTTGGTGGTCAGTCTTCGGCTGTTTTCTGATTAGCCCAGTTCTAAAAAAGCGGGGGTAATTCAACCAGGCCGGCTATGTTGTCAATATGCAATCAGAAAATAGCACAAAAAAGCTCCCAAAGACCCTAAAGACCCCCAAAACCTACTACCCAAAACCCCCAGTTTTTGGCATGCTATGGACTAATGGAGGCTAGTTGGTTGCCCCAGCATTCGCGATCTGCCAATAGACGGTCCGGGTTTTAGATAATGTTTATATTCTCCGTGACAGCTCGGTAACAAAAGAGGCATCCACAACGTAAACAAACCCTCCAAATGGTGGCAAACTTGGGCAGAGGGTCGGCAGAAAAAAAAAGTCGGGCGAAAAAAATTATGGAGAAGCAAAACAGGTCAAAAGGAAGTGAACTGTCACGCGGCTTTGGCGGAAAGTCACATTGATTTCACAGACTTCTCGGGTCAAATGTTTCCCCCTGGGGCGAAAAACGATCGCTTTTCTCTGTCAGCCTTCAACAAACCTGCAGCTTGAGACTATTTATATATAATCTAATCTCCTACCAGATCTTTTGTTGCCTGCAAGGCAGTATCAAATTGGCAAGACAGTATCATTTATATAGAAAATTCACATTCCTCATGAAACTCGATAATCCTCGTACTATAAGCTCCACCTGTTCTTTAAAGTTTACAACTGTCTTAAGAAGCGAGAAGAAGCAGAACCTGTACATACAGTTTTACTATAGATATATTTTAGTCTGCCATCGCTATTTGCCGTAACCCGTACTTAGGTCGCAATGTGCAAAAATGTACAATAAAAGTCTTTCATTCATTATATAATAGCAGGCCAGTATGATGAGTATCGAAACAAAAGCTACTACAGTTCCCGGTACAAAATTAAAAGCCCGAAAGAAAAAAAAAATTAAGCCAACGCCTCTACTTCGACTGTAAATCATAAGAACTTGTCCCATAGCCACGTCACAAAGATCTGCCCACGTATCAAAGGATTGAAGCCAGGGTCGCTGTTTTATTCACGGTGACCATGGATCAACATCAACCCGCATTTACATCAGCGTAACGCCGGCCTTTCAGTCCCGGAGCCGGCCCTTTCTCTCATCCATTCCTGTCCGTCAGTTTGTCAGGGACACACACAGGATCACACAGTCACACAGGGATTCATAAACACACGACACGTCTAGTCTGAATCCAGACTAATCTGGTTCGGAAAAAAACAGCGATCAAATTGAGTGAATATTTGGCCTTACGAGTTATCTGGTCATAGGATCACAACTTGTTACAACAGTAGCATAAACCAGGATTGGCGTAAAAAAAAACTGCGAAAAAAAAAAAAGAAAGCCCGATATTAAATAAAACAAAGCCTAAAACACGCCAAAAATCAGGCAAAACTCTTCTTGGATCATGGAGAGTAGCAAAATCTAGTAGTCAGCTTTCCACCGACACCCATTTGGCTAATTTCTAATAGCAACCGACTGTACTTGATGGTGACTACAGGACATGCATAAGTCTGGCCTGTATCGGACTGTTAGATGTCAGACCTTTGGTTCGTAATGAAGAATGTCAGTTTGGGGCCAGTGAACTATGTAAGTAGCGCATCGCTGAAGGGATGTGATATGTGAAATAACGCAGAGGATCGCCAGACTGTATATCTTTGCTGTGTATCTGGTAAACATGATGGTTTAGCCCGGATATCTTGTTTAGCCTCTACCAGGCGTCGGGAGGCGGCAAACTAGTCTCCACTAGACTTTTTTTGCAGGCTGAATAAATCGTAGAAATCGGCCTAAAAAGGATATTAATGGGCGAGAGAATGTAGCCGGCCGTCGACGATCAAATTGCCTGCAAACGTATAACGAAGTCTGGTGGAGACTAGCGGCAAACCATGGAGTTAAAGACACATTTAACTCCATGGGCAAACTGTACTCTCCAGCAGACCAACTCCCCCGGCATGTTATCTCTCTATTTGGCCAATTTCTACTCTTGCCAGTCGCCTCCCGAAGCCTGGTAGAGGCTACTCTTGCCAGCCACCTCCCGAAGCCTGGTAGAGGCTATAATGTTGCTATATCTTGCTGTGTATCTGGTAAACATGACAATTTAGCCCGGATATCGGACATTGCAGGAAGGGAAAACACAGTACTGTATGTTCTGTGCATGTGTTTCCTGTAGACTGCTGCAACTGGTCAAACAACAGACAAGCGGGACACTTCACAGCTATATAAAACGACTTGATATTGATTGGAAATTAATGACGTGAAATTTGAGATGAGAGTATAGCTTTAACCAAGAAAACCGCCGAACATTTTCAATTGGTGAGTGAAAAAAATGGATGGAAATGAATTAATAATGCGCGCTGACCACTAATTGACCAGTATGGGAATGTGACTTGTAACCCGATCCTTGCCGTGAAACCTGATACCCCCACAGCGCTACAAGTGTAGCAGGGCATGGCGGGGCGCTCCACGCTCCATATACACATTACTGGGTTACAGCTACTGGTTTACACACTGTGACATCTTTGTTGGATGTAGCGTCTGCTTACTAGTAACCTCTGCCAGGCTTCAGGAGGCGGCCGGAAAGAGTAGAAATTGGCAGAATATTGGCATGTTAGATTGGCCAATCATTCTGCTCTTTCCAGCCGCCTCCCGAAGCCTGGTAGAGGCTAGCGTATGTTCACGAGAAGATTTTTGGCAACAGTGGTAGATGAGACGCTCTGCATTTGCTGGCAAATGTTGGCAGCATACGCCCACAACACACTGGTCATCTGTTCTCTAATTAGCCCCCTAAACGTACTAGAAACAAACTGTGGTCTTAAGAGATCCAACAGAAGCAAACGTCATAGAAAGCAATTAAGGGCAGTTTGTACCATGTCCACACACACACACACGTCCCTCCTGGGACAGGTAGCTGCACCTGTTCCTAACCTGACAGGTGAGACAGGTGTGTGCCAAGGCTGTTTCCCCTCCCGGGCCGGTGATACCTGACGTATGTGTGACGCTCTGACGCGTATGTGACTCTCTAACACGTGTGTCGTCTGCATCTGCTGTATCTGTTCCCGGGCCACGGTAATGTATTGGGACCTGTGTCTACCTAGTATCTAGTTCTATGCCTGAATGGGTTAGGTTCAGGATCAGGCACGGTTCTGGGTAGTCTCCGCGTATCCAAGAACGTAGATTTGCTCCAGGGAAGGTTCTGGATACACGTGGACTATCCAGAACCTTGCTTGAAAGCACGGTCCTGTATTACAACGGACGCCCGGTTGAACATGTCCCCAGGCCATAGTGCCAACACTCATTAAGAACTAATGTATCCGGACCTGTGTCTAGTTCTATTCCCCAATATGGGCTATGGTTAGAAATAGGATCGGGCACGGTTCTAGATATTTAAAACTTCATAAAGCACGTTTCTGAATAAAGCACGGTTCTGGATAAAGCAGTCTGGATGAAGCACGGTTCTGGATAAAGCAGTCTGGATGAAGCACGGTTCTGGATAAAGCACGGTTCTGGATAAAGCACGGTTCTGGATAAAGCACGGTTCTGGATAAAGCGCGGTTCTGGATAAAGCAGTCTGGATGAAGCACGGTTCTGGATAAAGCAGTCTGGATGAAGCACGGTTCTGGATAAAGCACGGTTCTGGATAAAGCACGGTTCTGGATAAAGCACGGTTCTGGATAAAGCACGGTTCTGGATAAAGCACGCGTACGGTTCTGGATAAAGCACGGATCTGGATACAAAAGACGCCCTGTTGAAAATGTCCCCAGGCCAATAGTGCCAACACTCATTAAAAGAACCTTCCAGAAACCGCGTCCTCTCAACATTCTCGCCCACTCACTATTGTACACTACACTAGCACTAGCCACCCTAGCCTCCTGTGCAGGCCCCGCGGCGGTGGGGAAGAGTTTTTAACGCGTTATTCTAATATAGCCGGCCATCCTACATAGCCGCCGAGATCCGTGTACGGAACGGAACCTTCTCTCGGCGGCTATGTAGGATGGCCGGCAAATTAAAATAATGCGTTAAAAACTCTTCCCCACCGCCGCGGGGCCTGCACAGGAGGCACTAGCCGCCCGCTGTTGTGACTCAAACCACACCGATGCAGACATAAACCTGTTAGTGTGTCTATAATTAGCCCTGTACTATTAGCCTGTGAACCTGCGGTGGGACAGCATTACTCATGCTGTACTGAATGTGCAGGGCGGGTAGTTGAGCCAGGAAACATGCCAGGAAATAAAGAGAAAGAAATGCCCGACAAAACGTCGAAAAGGGGCGCCTAACATCTGCTTGGAAACTTTGAAACTTCGTTTGAAAACTGAGTTGAAACACCGTGATTATGATACCTTCGTATATTTATATTTGCCGCATAGACTTGTTTTCTTTCTTCTTCCAATCTTTCCTTCCTGTATTCTTTCGTTCTCAAGATTTTTCTTTCCTTCCATCTCTTTTCATTTGATCTTTCTACCATATGTCCTATCTTTCTGATTACGAGTAAATACAGGCATTGCAATGGAGGCAAACTGGACCCTCTATGGCCGGCCCCTGGCAAGTAAATTCTTTATAGGCCGATTTCTACTATTCATTTTGCCTGCAAAGGAGTCTGGTGGAGACTATGTAAATACTACAACGACTGGGTGATACATAACTTTCTAACAGGAGATAGACATGAAGCTAATTACCTGAAACCCCCTCCCTGACCCTTCCCCTGTCACACGACCCCTGACCCCCTCCCTGCAGGTACCCCCCAGGTAAGGAAGAATGTTCCATCCCATCAGAGTACTAGTACAATCCACATGTTGTCCGGATCACATGACAAGCCTCACGTCTCCTACAATTTGTCTCCAAGTCCAGTCTTCACTTCGGAAGAATCGTAGATCGAATGGACATGTTTTTTTCTACAGTGCGAATGTCAGCTAGCCTCTACCAGGTTTCGGGAGGCGGCGGGAAAGAGTAGAAATAGAGAGATAACATGCCGAGGGAGTTTTTGAGCATTTTGCCAAATGTCCAAAATGTACTCTCCAGCGGACCAACTGCCTCTCGGTCTACACGTTATCTCTCTATTTCGCCAATTTCTAAGAAAGACGAGCTTAAAGCTTGAGAGAGATCAGTCAGCTGTATACCTAGAAAACTTTATGGAAGAAAGCCCAAGAAACTACATGTATGTCGCTTTGATTTCCAACCTTATTCAGTAAAATTGTGTATTTTTAGGAAACTACAGCAGGTCCCTGTGCCACTGACCCTGGAATACAATCACATGTTTATGTTCCCAATCTGAAAAGAATCTATTGTTTTGGATTTGTACTGTTTTTCTAAGATCTCTCGTTCTCCACCGGTTTGTGATGTCTGCACGGCTACTGATATAACAAAGTCTTATATGACGGAAGTTAGGAATGAACCCAGTCACAGAAGCGGGCAAGGCAGTGGTTTGGTGGATAAAGGACGTTATAATAGACCATGACAGACAATGTTTAGAGTTAGATGTTAGGTGTAACAAGTCGATCGGTGTAATGTAGCCTGCTGCCGCTGCGCCGCGTGCCTGCGAAGCTGGTGTGTTAGGCCGAAAGGCGGTTATACCGACTATACAGATACAGACGCTGGTGTGTTAGGCCGAAGGGCGGTTATACCGGCTATACAGATACAGAAGCTGGTGTGTTAGGCCGAGGGACGGTTATACCGGCTATACAGACCAATGCATGGCCTGTCCTTGCCCTATATAATACCTTGATACCTTGATACCGTCTTCGGGATGAGAGGTAATCCTGTGGTGATCCCGATCTCGACTTCACTCAGTGTTATACTTTATGCTCTCCCAGTATTTGTCTAGGTTCGTCTTGAACTCATTTACTGACTCTGAGTCAATTACGGCCTGTGGTAGACTGTTCCAATCCCTAACGACCCGGACGCTAAATGACTGTCGTCTAACTCTTCCCTTGGCCAAAGGGACCTCCAGTTTGCAACTGTGCCCTCTTGTTGATCCTTCTGTTCTCTTCTTGAAGAAGGATTCGAGTTGGATTCCCTCCAGCCCTCTTGCTAGTTTGAATACCTGTATCATGTCTCATCTATAATGCCCTTGGTTGGATTCCTGGGTGCTTGATACACAGTGAATTAGTAGTTATAAAGAGCTAATCTTTCTGAAGTACACAGGAACATACAGTTATGAACTGATGCAAGAACCAAGTGTTGTGCTATCTAATTTCTTTGCCATTTTGCCATCAAAACATTTTTTTAAATGCATTTAACTAACAGACAATCTAGTGGTGCTAGAATTATAAGGCCAAGGGCTCATAATAACAGTGATAGCTAAAATTACAAACAAATTCGCGTCTAGCGCGATTGGAAAAGAAATTGGAAAAGACACTAGTCTAGTACAGAAAAGTACCTCGAAACATTTCTTTCCTAACAATTGAGTTTTGTTTTAAAAGTGCGTTTTTCTCACTGCGCTCAGTTCACACAAAAAGCCCTTTGCACTGTTGGAGTCACGGTTTTTTGTAACAGAAGGGTTTGTGTTTTTAGACCACCAGCTCGCAATGCTCGTTAGGAAATAGGTCAGCAGAAATGGAGCGTCGACTTTTACCACTTCAAATGCTAGCCTCCGTAGCAGGCTTGTAGAACTGGGGGTTTGGTGGTCTTCGGCTGTTTTCTGATTAGCCTCCGTAGCAGGCTTATAGAACTGGGGGTTTGGTGGTCTTCGGCTGTTTTCTGATTAGCCCAGTTCTAAACGGGGGTAATTCAACCAGGCCGGCTATGTTGTCTATATGCAATCAGAAAGTAGCACATAAAAGATCCCAAAGATCCTGAAGACCCCCCAAACCCCCAGTTTTTGGCATGCTGTGGAGGCTATTCAAATGCCAAAGAGCGTATAACTGAGGACGTACTAGTAATAGCGCACTGTAATACCACTTTTCATTACAAGGTGGCGCTATGAAAGGAACGCGGAAGTGTGTTTGGGCATTTAAAAGCAGCGCACAGTACCCTGGGTACGGGCTGTATTGTAATCGACCGTTTTTCTTGCTCTTGGGCACCAGTTGATATCATTGAATATCAAATTATTATGATATATTTATAATTGATACTCTGTAAGGGCCGATAATCTTGAAAAAAGTGGAAAATATGACAAAATATTAACGCTAGCGCACCACGATATCCTGGGTACAAGTTGTTTGGACGCTGACCAATGAGAGCGCGAGTTTGGCGGAGCCTGACCAATCAGCGGCCGGCGTGGGTTCTACCGGTGCATTCAACCTGAATCCAAGCGTTTGGACGCTACTTACATCCGTCTATGCGACAACAGAACGAGTTTTTCTTGCTTCCCGGAGAGAATTTCACGTTTCCAAGCTCAAAGGAGCCTTGTAGAAAGCGTAGATTGTACAAGAAGAGTAGATTTTCCGAGAAATAACCTTGGTAGCAGCGTTTTGAGGTGAGTAAAGGGTGCGTGTTTGGTCGGAAAGGGGGAGGGGGGCTTGGTGGGAAATTATTTAAATCCCCCGGTTGTAACTGCTCAGTTTCAGCAACAAATATTTCTTCTTTTTTTCCCCATTAGGTGAAAATTCTACAGTTCAAAACTTGCAGCTTACGCCTGTATCTCGTAGAGATTTTTTTCTTGGCTATGGTCTGTGGAATATTGTTGATTATGTCGCCAGGACCTACACAGGACAGCTCCTTGGCTCCAGATCCAACATACTAGTCTGGATGCTAGACTGTTTCCAGATCCAACATGCTAGCCTGGATACTACGCACAGGCCAGATCCTCGGCTTCAGGACCAACAAGCCCCCGAGGAAATTTTGTCACAACCCCCTCCCCTTTGACTTCAAACTCTGGGCCTGGCTTGCTTTGGGTCTGGCATCCAGGCACAAAAAAATTGATAACGGTAGATAATTTACTCGGCTCAGAACCAAGAGGTGCTGGGTTCGAATCCTGCTACATCTACATGCAAGTTCCAAGTTCTACATCTACAGACTACAGGCATATAGTAATATGAGACAAAGTGCCTCACGGCACATCGCTTGCCTTCCTGATACCCTGTGTGCCATGTACACGCATGTTAATGTTGTGCCCTTGGGAAAGGCACTTTTCATGACTTTCCTCAATTTGCTCTAGCCTGGGTGCCACCCAATTTGTAACAGCAACCCTGAAACAATGGGGTTGCAGTTACAAATTGGATGGAACCCAGGCTATCTTTGGAATCGCTTTAGGTGAAAATGAGTACTAGTATACCAGAATGATCGTAATAATTTATCAAGATTGTGGGCATTAAAGGAAAACCAAACCAGGCTAATGCTTACCGTGTGTTTTGTCTCTCTCCACAGCTAACCCCTGTCCGCCATGTCTCACCTGAAGTTTGAGAACGACGTGAACCAGCTTCTGCGTCTGGACTCTGCCTTTACGGACGGACCTGTGCCGAGATGGCAGCGCAAAGCTATGGAGACCAGCAGGTGCAGGTGAGTAGAAAAATTAGGTGCCCAAAAAAGTTTTTGGGTGCACAATATAAAACAAAACACAATATAATTACAGATCTTACTGCTCCTCTTCTAAGCTTGAATCTGAAATGGGAGATAACTTCAAAATCTTACACAAGTAGTACAACAAAGATTTGAATATTTTTCTGACACTTAGATGCCAAGAATATCTATACTATTATACATTTACATGTACAAAAATACCTACAAAAATATTTGGGTGCGCCAGTGCACCTACAGAAAAAATCTGGGTGCACAGCTCCAATTTTGGCTCCACCAAGGTGCACATGCACCCAGTATTTCCAACCCTGAATACTAGTATACCATGCATGTTCTAACTGCCCTATTATCCAACAGTGGACCGAGTAACAACACATCGCTGAACTCCAGCTGTAGGAACATGTCCCTGAATGTGTCAGGCTGCACACCCATGAAGACATCCAACCGAGGCTCCGCCAAGACTCCCTCCCACACACCTGGCAGGGCCAAGACACCCAAGAGCGGCCGCAAGTCTAAAACACCAGGTGAGGTCTTACAACTCACCTGTACATATAGAATACAACACGGTGTATTCCGTATCACCCGAGGTACCAGCCCGACCGCGCGTCGGATCGCCCGACGACCGAAGGCCGGAGGGAGATCCGATCCGCGAGAGGGCTGGGACCGAGGGTGATGCGGAATACACCGTGTTGTATTTTATTTATGTCATACCAACCCAAGAAAACACGCCTTTCAATGCGAAATGAGCGAAAATTTGGTGTCCCTAAACCCAACAAATGCAACAACATCAATTCCAACGTCTGAATTTTGTATTCGAATTTTCGAAAGCGGTGCAAGCGGTTAGGGCAAAACGCGTTCGAATCGTTCTATGGAACATTTGGAAGGCCCGGGCTGTACGCGTTAAGAACCCCCGGGCCGTACCGCTAGTTATCACACGGGCCGGAACACCCGTATCGAACGTAATCGCGGCCCAGGTAGGACATAAATGTAGCATATAGGCTATAGCCAAAAGTATTGTGTTTGAAGCCCTATATTGACTTGTTCATATTGCAGCAGTTTTGCTCACATATTATTTGATTTGAAAGAGCAGTGTCCCTTATGTGTGTATTGTGGCATCCCAGGTTCATAACTGAGTGTCAAACTGCTTTGTGGCATAACATCCCAGATGCCACATTGTATCACTGTTGCAGTTTGAAAAATAAATACTTGTAAAATCCAGTACTGAGTGCTTTTAGCCATGTATCATGTGAACTTCAATCTTCCTGTGAAAATGAGATGTTTCCCTAAAATTGTTTCTCCATATGCATCAGGAAAACCCAAGACCCCCGGTGGAAATGCTAAGACGCCCAAAACCCCGACAGCCGACCGCTTCATCCCCAACAGAAGCGCATCAAACTTCGAGCTGGGACATTTCAAGTGCAACAATGACAAGGTCTGTGGAGAAGGTGGTGAAGATTGTGACTGATAGTTATACACTGGTTACTTGTTATTGTTGGGGGCTGTTTCAACTAGGGACAAGGTATTTTGTGTATTTTTTCCCCTTGACTTTTTGATAATGCCATTACAATACTGGTAGGGACATAACAAAGTTTAAAACTTCATTTGTTTCTTTACAAAATTGGGCCCTCAAAATGCAGGAAATGATGTTGCAAGGTGTTATGCATTTTACAATTTTCCAGGGGAGAATGCCCATGGACCCCTCTACAATACTTGTGCCAACTAAAGGTCTCACTATGCTGTGAAAAAATCTTAGGGGAGAGGTGCTCCCTAATTGGTTCATGAAAAATCAGCCAATTTTCAGTTAGTGAGTGAGTGTGTGTTAGTGAGTAAGTGTTAGTGTGTTAGTGAGTAAGTGTTTGTGTGTTACCTGTACAGATCCATGTAGATGAAGAAGTTCTGAGCCCCTCCAAGCAGCAGTACCAGGAGGTCATGAGTGAGAACCTGTTAGATGTGTGTTAGTTACCGAGTGTTAGTGTGTGTTAGATGTGTGTTAGTGAGTGAGTGTTTGTGTGTTAGTGAGTGAGTGTGTGTGTGTGTTAGATGTGATGTGTGTTAGTGTGTGAGTTTGTGTTAGATGTGTGTTAGTGAGTAAGTGTTTGTGTATTACCTGTACAGATCCATGTAGATGAAGAAGTGCTCAGCCCCTCCAAGCAGCAGTACCAGGAGGTGATGAGTGAGAACTTGAACGGAAACGTCGTCAACAGCAAAATCCTCGCCTACAAGAACAAGGCACCGCAGGCTCCAGAAGGTAGGGGGCGCTGTTGTGTGTTAGATGTTGTTTGGTTTGATTTTGACACTATTGCCACAATGCAAAAGGCTTTTGTTTGGGGTTTTCCCCTCAGGATACATTGAAAAGTGATATGTATCCCCTGGTGAAATAAATAAACGAACAAAACAGTACAATTGGAACACAGCTGACAGGCAGCATACAGGGGTAACCTAGGATGGTTCTCCTGTCGGTTTCCTTAGGAATGTTTTGGCTGCTTTCAGTAGCCCTCATTGGGGTATCACCAGCAGACCAGCCCCCTGCTGTAGTGCATTGCACAATTGTGTGTCGCCCAAGGGCTACGAAATGGAGATGGGCACCACCCTACGCTCGGGCAAGAGCACGGGAGACCTTCTTCTTCTTCTTCATTGGGGTATAGATGTTGAATGACATTAAATAGAAACTACTAGTAAGGCCATGTTGATTTGATTATATGGATGACATCCGCGCGCGCATGAATTTTCGGCCGTTTCCAAAAAAAAAGTTTTCAACCATACTGTAAATCGTACAAAACAGCTGCAAAATGAGCAAAAAATGTACCATAATTTACAAAAAAAAAATTAATAAAAACTACACCAATGTCATGGCAACAACAATGTCGTAGAATGCCAAAATCAAACGAAAAAAGACGAAATTGTAAAGAAATGAACTTGAAGACTAGATTATTCGCCAAACCATATTCTGTGCCACTTGCTCAACCCTCATGACCACGTAGATTTCGTAATGAAACGAACTTTTTTTTGCAAAACTTTTTTTTTATTCGCACGCGCGCATCAGTTTTGGGGCTCCCGGAGGATGTCATCCATATAATCAAATCAACATGGCCTAAGCACTTTTGGGTTCTCCAGAACTTCTTGAAAAATATTAGCAAGATTATTCATTGTAAAGCCATTAAGAGAGAAAACTATTGCTTGCAAGTAAAGTTTGTCATGAAACTTCAGAGTGTGGCTCTGGCGAGAATTTTGCCTGCCTGATTCAGAATGCTGCATGCTATTTCTAAAGAATATGATATTATAATGATGATATTTTACTCCACAACAGGGTACCAGAACAACATGCGAGTGCTGTACAGTAATATTGAGTACATGTACTGTTATACAGGCTACCAGAACAACATGCGAGTGCTGTACAGCCAGACTAAGACTCCCTCCTCCACCAGGAAGGTGACCAGGCACATTCCTCAGGTCCCAGAGAGGATCTTAGACGCACCGGAGATTCTAGACGACTACTGTAAGTCTTTAATTCAAAGTCATGGTGTCAGACTGGACCTGTTTTATGTACCATGATGTGATTTTTGGAATGTTTTAGAATCCTGTAATTTTGTCCTCTACAGACAGCTTGAAAGCTGTTAGCATTGAGCCATATCAAATATAACTTCTTGCCTCGAGCATGAGAAAAGTCACAGTGGGTGTTAATAATTTTTATGAATATTTTGGAAATAATCTGTTATATACCGTGGTTTTATGTTAAAAATTTAGGTATCTTAGAATTCTTTGTTGTTGTTCCCCCAGACTTGAACCTGCTAGCCTAGAGCGGAAAAACCACTTGGCCAAAGTTTTACTGAATAATCACAGTGTTTACCTGGATGTTTTTTATGCAAAATTCTGAAACGTTCTTTTTTTCTCCAGACCTGAACCTGCTGGCCTGGAGCCGTAACAACCACCTAGCGGTTGCGCTGGGGAACAGCGTTTACCTGTGGAACGCCGGGACAGGCGAGATTCAGCAGCTCATGTCCATGTCGGGGCCCGAGGACTACGTCTCCGCTGTTTCGTGGATCGCTGAGGGGAACTTCCTCGCGATCGGCAGCAGCAATGCTGAAGTACAGGTGGGTGCAGTAATGCTCATCTACAGATAGGGGGAGCTTCTTACAAGCTCACACACATGTAACAGGGAGGACTAAGTCTCTGCTGTCTCGTGGATCGCCGAGGGGAACTTCCTCGCAATAGGTAGCAGCAATGCTGAAGTACAGGTGGGTGCAGTAATGGTCATCTACAGATAGGGGGAGCTTCTCTCACTCACACACACACACACACGCGCGCGCGCGACAGGGAGGACTACGTCTCTGCCGTTTCGTGGATCACAGAGGGGAACTTTCTGGCTATAGGCAGCAGCAATGCTGAAGTACAGGTGGGTGCAGTAATGCTCATGTACAGATAGGGGGAGCTAATGTTCAGTGCAGTTTCTTTGTGAACATGACAACTCCAAAAGTTCTTTCCAGAGTGATTTCTTGTGTTTTTTTTTCTCACACATGTTCATACTGTGAATATAATTTCTTTGATTCTTCAGTGTCAAGATTTTCCTAGTTTACACTTTGATAAACAATTAACAGGGTGGAATTTTCTGATATTCCAATACTTCCACAAACCCATTAATTTTACCCAGTTTTCTGATTGAACCCCTGTTATAACTTGCCTGTCTGTTTCAGCTGTGGGACGTTGCTGCCCAGAAGAGAGTGAGAAACATGACCAGTCAGTCCTCTCGGGTCGGGTCTCTCGACTGGAACGTCTACATCTTAAGCAGGTCAGGAAAAGTCTTACACTGTGTCTTAGGAAACACCAGGTTAACTTGTTGGTTATTCACAGCCAGATTTAACAATGTGAATTGTGTTACAGAAGTGGAAGATGAACATGAAAACAGTGTGAAAGCGAGTTGGTCAGTACCTTGATACACACACTTTAAGGGAGTGTATGTACTAACGTAGAAGCTAGTTTTCCTTCAAAACCCCTGTTCTCATCTCAACCACTTGCTACATTTTTGCTGTCACTTTTCTCTATTAACTGTCAAGTCTGCCCGCTAGCTGCTTTTCATTGAGATCATAAGAGAAGAGGTCAGGGTCCAATACAGGTTACATGATTGAGGTCCTACCAACAACTGATGTTTATGAAATGAAATGATTTTTATTGCATATTATTAGGCAAAATCCAGTATTGAAATCATACTACTACAACAGTCTCAAGTTAGAATATGTAGAACCTGTAGCACTAGGTTTTCTAAATGGGGAAATAAGGGAGCTGCTCCCTCATGTAACCAGCCAGCTCCCTCATAAATTTTCAGATCGAACCCTATGTGGCTACATACTAGTACAGTACACAACATTTTAAGTCTTTTTCCAGTGAAAATTTAAAAACAAAACATCATAAAAACGCATTCTAACATTACCAACTGTTTTTTACTCTTGTAAAAACAGTTGCTTTGCTCCCTCACCAAGCTAGTGTTCTGCTCCCTCATGCTAAATTTTTCTAGAAAAACCCCTGTTTAGTGTTGATTATCTTCTCCTCTTTCCCCAGTGGTTCCCGCGCTGGCACGATCCACCACCACGATGTGCGGATAGCGGACCATCACGTGGCCACGCTGGACGGGCACACACAGGAGGTCTGCGGACTCAGGTGGTCACCCGATGGTAGGCCGGAATATCTTTCTCAATTAGTAGACTCATGAAGACTAAAAGTTAAAACAATAAAGCAGTAAGAAGAGTCTTAATTTTTACATTTCAGTGAATTTAGATACTAGTTATCATTCAGCTAACTACCAAAGTTGTTCATTACACAGTATCTAGATAGTATTAAGAAATTAGCTACAACAAGAGTTGTGGACTGAAGTGCAGATCAGTGCAGATGTTTCTACTTAGATGGTGGGGAGGATTTCTCAACAAGTAGACTCAAACTCATCATCATCATCAGACTCAAACTAAAGCTGCATTAACCTACCTAACTTGTAGGACAAAGCCTAGATAGCACTAGTGAGGGTACCAAAGTACACAAGGCCTAGGGTTTTATACTTTGTTGTACCAATAAAGTGTGTTTATTTCAGGGCGCTACCTGGCGAGTGGTGGAAATGACAACCTGCTGAACATCTGGGGTTACCAGTGCACACGGGAAGGGAACACCCCCATACATAGCCTTACACAGCACCAGGCAGCAGTCAAGGTAAGGACATGGGGGGGGGGTACCAGTGCACACGGGAAGGGAACACCCCCATTCACAGCCTTACACAGCACCAGGCAGCCGTCAAGGTAAGGACATGGGGGGAGGGGGAAAGGGGTTACCAGTGACCACTCCTAGAACTAGGTAAGAACATGACAATACATGCTTGTAGTGCCTGTAGCAAGGTAAGTGTGTAATTAATTGTGCTACATTTCCTTTTCTTAAGGCACTACTGCATGTGTGTGTGTGACAAATTCTCAAGATGTTACAAAATTATTCTCAGGCACTGGCAAGCTAGTCTGTAAACATACTTGTGTTCTGCTGTTTTCAGCTACCTTTTTTTTGCTGCAAAGAATCATAAGCTGTTCTGTAATTTTTCAGGCACTATCCTAGTGTTCATGGCAGGCCAGTTTATGATAGTTAATAACTTATTTGTTCTGTAATTTTTTGGGCACTCTTGTGGTGCCCATGGCAGGCTAGTCTGTAATCGTTATTTGTTTTGTAATTTTTCAGGCGCTATCGTGGTGCCCGTGGCAGCCCAGTGTGCTGGCCAGCGGAGGCGGGACGGCCGATCGCTGTATTCGCTTCTGGAACGCCAACACGGGGCACTGCCTCAACACCGTGGACACCAAGTCACAGGTACACTAACTAACAAACTAACATGCTGTTGTCATGGGAACACAAACAAACATGCTGTTGTCATGGGAACACAAATAAACATGCTGTTGTCATGGGAACACAAATAAACATGCTGTTGTCATGGGAACACAAATAAACATGCTGTTGTCTTTGGGACAATAACTAATATTTTGGAAATTGAAACTAGAAATATTTGGAAAGGTTTGATTTTCCCACTTTTTTGCAATAACCTGTCCACTGCAAAATCGTGACACCGTGAATGTATTTTTGTGCTACAGGATAGTTTTGTCTACCAACTTTTAACACATGTACAACAAAAACCTTCTTTCCAATTCTTGAACAAACAAATTAATGAATTTACAGTGAATAAGTGTATTTGTATGTTTATTTCATATGCAGCATTGATGCATAAAATATAGAAAAGAATAAACCATGATCAAACACCAGTCTTTGCAAACACTTTTGCTTCAGTTAAATTTTACACCAGAACACGAGTAATGCTTACCCTACACCTCAGTAACACCTGTACTGCTTACCTGTACTTACCTGTACACCTGAAGACTAACACCTTGTGTCCCCAGGTATGCTCCATCCTGTGGTCTAAGGAGCACAAAGAGCTGATATCAGGACACGGCTTTGCCAACAATCAGCTCATCATCTGGAAATACCCCACTATGGCTAAAGTCACGGAGCTCACAGGTCGGTAAACTTGGTAGTTTTGGATACATATGTGTGTCTACATGTAGATAGATGTAGGATCCAGTATTGGATTATACTGCTGCAGGGTCAACAGTAGTTTTCTCTAAGTGGCTGTACTGTGTGTTGTGGTAATACTTTTAGATAGGTATCAATGATAGATTGCTCCACTGTGCTGCAGCGCCCCCAGTTGATCAGTTTGGAAACTGCAGCATGAAAAACGATGATCATCCTTTTGCATAGGGTAGAAATTGAATCCATTACCGTTAGTTTAAGCACCGTATTTAGCAGTTTTCACACTTTTTTATCAGTTAGATGACATTTTCAGCAGTTAAGTCACATTTTCTAGCAGTTAGATCACATTTTTTAGCAGTTAGATCACATTTTTCTCTCTCACATGTACTAACAATGTGAAGTTGGGGCTAATAGTAACAACCCCCCTCCCGTTCTGTGCAGGTCACCAGGCGCGTGTGTTGCACATGTCGATGAGTCCGGACGGCACGACCGTGGTCTCCGCCGCGGCCGACGAGACGCTGCGACTCTGGAAGTGTTTCGCCGTCGACCCGCAGAAGAAACCAGCGCAGAAAAGCCACCCGGACAAGAAAACCAACACTCTACTGCGGCAGCAAATCAGATAACTATAAACGGTCAGCATTTCAGTTAGCACCCACTACAGTGTCACTGACAAAAGGTAGTGGATGCTACCTGAAACGTCTGACCATTTCCAAATCATATCTAGTTTCTTGAGGAACTGTTTTTGGCAGATCTTATTACCTGGATGTCTAACCTTCACTGCAATATGGAGCATCAGCAGAATGGGGTAGGTTCATAGGTCAACTACAGAGGTTCATAGGCCAACTGCAGGAGGTCAAATGTCAGCTACAGGGGTTCATAGGTGAACTGCAGAGGCTTTATAGGTCATAAGCTTCGGCAAATGCTTACTGCGATGCGATGCTTGCTTTTGTAAATGTATTAGGGAGTACCTGTACAAGTTATAACCTAGTTTGGATACTATGAAGCCATTTTGTTGACTTGCTTGTATACTTGTACAGTTTAGCACCTTGTCCTTATAGTGAAGTTGTTTTTTTAACACCTTGAATGTGCATACTGCCACCAACGGGCCAGGCTAAGTTATAATGTTGGTCTTCCGGGTAGCTCCGTACGCTTCAGAAGGACAGGAAGTTGTACCAACTGCAATGACAACAAGGATCGAATAAAGACTTACCATCTTTATAAATTCTTCTTGTAGTCCTGGTTCTTCTTAAAACAATAACTTTATTCTTTAGTATTTTCAAAATAAGGTTAACATTAGTAAGGACACAAAACTCACAAAAACAACAAGTATTCAACTGTTGATACTTTAGTGCTTTAATTTATTTCTACTTTGCACACCATCAGGCTGACTTGGTACTAGTATTTTCTTTAAAATCTTTGTCCACCCCCAAAACATAATGGTCTATCCCTACAGTTCTTCAAGCTAAACTTAAAGAGACCAGGAACATGTGTCTCCATATTGGAGTATAAATCAAGGTCAGAGTGGGTTTGAAGGTCGTTGGTTCAGTGGCCTGGTTTGTGTCAGCAAGACAGATGGTACAGTTAGTACAGTAGTCTCTTCCAGGCTTCTTAGGGCTGTAAAATACAGCAGGCTGCTTTAATAGGATACACTAGTTTTAGGGTTGTTAGTTCTGGGTTTCAAGAATTAAAGTCTTTCTTGGAAGGTAACATGAAAACAGTGTACTTGTACATAATGGTACAGTTTTAGGAAGCAAGTATGGTCAGATAAAATTTTTCTGCCTGTCTGCTGTGTTTCATGTTCTTTGGATGAATTTTTACTTGAAAGTGTCTGTATAATCTCGAAGCAGATAGACCTTCTGGTGGCTCAAATTGTTGACAAGACAGTATGCAATACGTTTAGATGGTAAAAAAAAGATAACAGTAAAAAGAAAGCTGGATAAAAACACCTAAAAAGGATTTTAAAAAAGCCAAAGTCTAAACTTCTGATTGGAGAGTAGGTCTAAGAAACAAGAAAAGATGGTGTGGCCTTATCACCTAAAAAAAACCCAAAGCCTAAAGTTCTCACTCACTCTCTCCCATAGCTTAGTTCTAAAGTCCTAAAAGTTGGTGTGGCCTTTACAGTAACCGCCTAAAAAAACCCAAAGTCTAAAGTTCTGCTTCGTAAGAAACAAGGCGATGTATTGGTGTGGCCTCAGGGTAATCTCCAAGCAGATCTTTTGGTGGCTAGAAAAAAAGCATCAAATTGGCAATATCCAAAACTCCACCCTTGGCTATAAAAATGCCTAAAAAGACTTAATAACCAAAGCCAAAACTTTCAATTGGAGAGTAGGTCTGAGAAACAAGGCGATGTATTGGTGTGGCCTTACCACCTAAAAAACCCCAAACCTTAAGTTCTGCTTAGTGAGAAACAAGGCGATGTGTTGGTGTGGCCTAAATAGGCTTTACAAAAATAAGCCAAAGTCTAAACTTCTGATTGGAGAGTAGGTCTGAGAAACAAGGCGATGTATTGGTGTGGCCTTGCTGCCGATATAATACAGGCTGTTTTGGCAAACTTTCCTATTTACACAGCGGCCGGCAGCGACTAGGATGTGGACACGTCTTCACGAGGACACTTAAGTAGGAATTACGGCCACTTAAAGACGTGTTTGGTCTTTTCCCGACTCCCCGGCCACGTCTATCTGAGGCCACACCACCTTAATTTCTTGGTTAACAGATTTGCCCGCTTCATTTTTTTCTGATTTGCAAATAAAAATAAAAATTCAGAATCAAGTGCAAAATGCTCATATTTCAGTTATTCCATCTTTCAATGCAATGGTATCATTAAAAGTTCAAAATTCATTGTTTGAATTTTGAACCAGCCTGGTGTGTTGAGTTCATGGCTCCTATCGTGCCATTTTGGGCCATAATAGGATGCCTAGTCCTGTTTTTATTTTATTTTTATTTTGCCCGCCTGCTCCATTATTTTTCTTGAAAAATCCGTTAACCAAGAAATCAAATTGGTGTGGCCTAAAGACGTGTTGGTCTTTTCCCGGCTCCCCGGCCGCGTCTATCAGACCTGGGCGCAGGTGTAATTCTGTCAACATGACGTTACAAAGTCGTCGTACACAGATAACGCGCAACGCGACACCACCTAAACAACAACTCAAGCACCGAGTGTTGTGGGTTCGCCTCGGCTATTCAGGGCTCACTTTGTTCCAGGATTAGCCAGACAAAACGGTACAAAAACGCTGCCGGTTTGTTGTAATCCCCGAATGTTGTGGGGTTTGATTGGTTCAAACCACAGAGCCGAGGTGTTGCATCACTTACAGGACAGAGCAGCCACCTGTTAGACCTGGCTGGAGGGTGACTGGTGACTCTGTGTGCGCAAGGCTGACAGCAGGTGGGCTGAAAATGTGTGTGTGTGTGTTTGTGAATGTGTGTGAGTATGTGTGTGTGTGACTACTGAGTGTGTGTGTGTGTGTGTGTGCATGAGTATGAGTGTGTGTGCATATGTGTGTGTGCATATGTGTGTGTGCATGTGTGTGACTACTGTGTGTGTGCATTGCATGTGTTTGTGTTTGTGAGTGTGTATTTGTGTGAGTATGAGCGTGTGTGCATGTATGTGAGTGTGTGTGCGTGCATGTGAGTGTGTGCCCTGGGCCAAATCCTTTTGTTAGTTATTATACACTTGACATGACTTGACATGTGCTTATGTGAGAAATGCAGACAGTGTATATACTATGTTGATCCTGTTGTAGCTTGTAGCTTACACAAGTTGCTGGTTTAGCTTACTCTCCAAGCAGAGGTTTGGGTTTTGGCTTATTTTTGGTGTGTTTTTAGGCTTTTTTTATCAGGATTTTTTTTTTTGCACTGGTCTCTCCTTTTGGGTTGGTGTAAAAAAAAAAAGATACCAGACTGGTGCAAAAAGGAAAGCCCAATAAAAAAGCCTACAAATGACAAAAGTCAAAACCCAAACCACTGCTTGGAGAGTTACTAGGTTTAGCTGTATGTTCCCACTGGTCGTAACAGATGTTTCCGTATGTACAGTATATATAATATATACAGGTTCAATGCACCCAGAACATTCCTCTGGTCTCTTCCATCAGTCTTGTAGTGAACAGTGGAGCAAGGCTTGCAGGGTTGAGCTTCCTAGGGACTGCAACCTTCTGCAGTAGCGTGCAAGTTGGGTGAGCAACAACAGCTGGGGTTCGAACTCACAACCTTCTGATCCAGGATTGCTGACTACACGTTGGGGAAGTTCAGGTGGGTTCAAGCATTTTCTGCATGGTTTCTTATACTCTAACCTATGACTGAGGGGATGAAGTCTGCCATCTCTGATTGCCTTGTGTTAAAACTGACGAACAGTGTCATAGAACTGAACAAAGAGAAGTTAAACTTATAGAATCATCAAAAGCTATGTTCCTTTCCGTTTGTTTTTTTTTGTTTGTTTAGGATCTCAATTTCTGGCATTAGTGTGCTTTCTGGAATCCGTAGTGAATCATCAGATTCTGAGATAGTTAGAATTTGGACCATCGCACATTGGGGCAGGTTAACATGTGTGGGGTGGACTCTTTAATGTGCGTGGGGTGTGGCTCTCCCAAACACGGGACCTCCATTTAACATCCTATCTAAGGGATGTCCCTAACCAAAGCTTTAAGCCGTATCTTCTTCCAACACTACTTCATGTTCTACAAAAACTGCAAAGTCCTCTTCACATTTTAGAATAGAGGGCTATTGGATGTCATCCCCAAAAGTGAGCTCACACAGCCCTATGGATAAGCAGAATTCCTTGCCCTGCCTGCGAGGTCTGGGAAAGAGATCTGCGATTGCTGCAGTTTTTTCTGTATCTTCTTCCAACACCTCTAAATTCATCTTCTACAAAAAAAGTCATTTCTTGAGCAACCAAATCAAGGGATACTGGATGTCATCCCCAAAATCAGGTTCCCAAGGCCCATCGGATAAGCAGAATTCCTTGCCCTGCCTGCGAGGTCTGGGAAAGAGATCTGCGACTGCTGCAGTTTCTTTCTTCCAACAGTCCTCTTCATCACAATTTGTTTAAGCATTGTAGAAGGAAGGACTATTGGATGTCATCCCCAAAAGTAAGCTCCATTGGCCCTACGGATAAGCAGAATTCCTTGCCCTGGTACGAGGTCTGGGAAAGAGATCTGTGACTGCTGCAGTTCCAGGTGTTTATCTGGGGCAGACTGGCAGACATGTTCTCATGACCTTCGGGTCAAGGGCAAACATCACGGCAAATATAAGGGGCCAAGAAACGGATGCTTGTCGGTCGCATTGGTTTGTAACAAATCATCTGGGCAGGAGCAAGTTAGTTCCACGGTTCTGGTTCCAAAATGTCCTAAAATTTGAACAAAAATTGTCCTGGTAATATTAACGGTTATGGTTTCTCCATAATATTATGCAGACTGGCAGGCATTATGATGACCTTGACTCTTGAGGTCAAGGACGTCACAGCAATGTCAGAGTAAAGGGACAAAAAAAAAGAAACATTTTTGACCTCACTCAAGACTACTAGTAGGTCTCACTTAAGATGAATTCCATGGTTCTTGCATTGTAAGATTTGTCTCATTGGTTTGTGACAAACCAATCTGGGCCGGAGCAAGTCAGTTCCGTGGTTTTGGTTCTGTCTT